TGTAAAAAAAAAAAAAAAAAAAAAAAAGAGAGATTGTTTTTGTGGCCCCTCGCTGAACTGCAATCGGTGTGATGTTCGCTGAACTGCAATCGGTGTGATGTTGGTAGGCTAGCGCTGTTGTCGGTAGCGGAACGTTCCGCTACTGACCCTGAAGATCAGTGACAAACAATAGGTAGCACTTTGTGTCCAGCATGTCTTGCTGCGTGCCTGGAGAGGCATTTGCAACATGGATTTTGTGTGGTCTTGTCGCTGCGGTGAACCCCACTCGAGCCCCGATCTATTCTCGACACGATGTGTATACAAGCAAGAGATTGAGGGGATGGACGAGCCGGTGCAAAACTGTGAGAAATTGGTCAGGGAAATAGCTGAGCTTAGTGAGCTAGAAATTAGGAGACAGTGCACTAACACCGGTGGGGGTGTTTTTTTTTTAAAAAAAAAAAAAAAAAAAAAAAGGAGACAGTGGCCAGGGAGGGAGTAAAGGCAGGAATGGGAGAGCTTGGATGAGGCTTATGAGTGTCTTGCTGCAGTCTTCTCCCGAATAGAATGTACGGTCATTATCGCTGCATCTAGAATGAAAATTCCCCCGACGACAGCTACAATGATCAATGACATACATTCTAGCCATAAAAGACAGGAGCCCCCCCCCCAACTGCTGCTAGAATTCTCTGCAGAATGGCTCAAGGGTATTCAGGGATGGATATTATTGGAAAGAATGGTAACTGAGAAAGGCAGGCAGCCATGCCTTGCCTTTGAGGACTAAACCAGACAGGAGGACTAGGGCCGCCTCCGTTTGAGCACGGAGTTCCTGGACCATTTTCCCCCTACCGTCGTCGCCCGAATATAATTCCTGGCCGGTCCTCATAGCTGTATTTGGGGCACTATTCAGTCCGGCGGATGCAGCAATAATGACCGGGAGTTCTATTGGGTGAAGGCGGTAGTGGCCTGGCTCTGGTGGACAAAGCCACTAAGTCTTACCTTATCGTCTGCCAGACCCATCAGGAATCTGGACCAGGCTAATGGGTAGAATGCTGGGGACCTTAACCACTAGTACCTTTGCCGCGTGGGAAAATAGCGGGCCTCGGGTGGGCCTCCGACCTTTTCGGATGGCCGAAACGAAACAACCGCCGCTGATCAGATTTATCAATGGCCGCTGTCGTCGGGCCCGGCCTCCAAATTTTCAGGAGTTTGGGAAAACTGCCATTTTTCCCTAATTTCCCAACATTGGGCGAGGTACTTGTGGTGTTAAAAAAAAAAATAAAAATAAATAAATAAATAAATAAATAAATAAATAAATAAATAAATAAAAAAAATCCTGGAAGACAGAGGAAAAGGAGGACACATTCAACCACTAACACTTCGCCCATACATCAGTCCCAGGCCCTTGATGTTAACATGCCGCGTTACCCAGGCTTCTGGGCTAGCGGACGAAAATGGCTGGCGCCAGCCAAAATAAAAAAAAAACTGTGGAGCTGGTGGCTCGGCAAAGCTTGGCGTGCACTGCCAGGGCATTTGGAGCCCCAAAAGAAAGTTGCCTGGAAGTACTGGTGATTTAAAGTTTAGGCCTTCGAGCCTGAATGTACACTTCAAGATATCCCCCCATCCAGTGGAATTGCAGGGGCGGACAGGCCACAGATTAACCGGAGGTGGATTGGGGGGAGCGTACAGGGTGACAAAGGGTAATAAAACCCTGCACCATTGCAAGTGTGTACCTGCCCATATACTGATCGGTCGATGGCATGTGATAAGCCAAGTTCCGTACCTCGCGGCTTCACGTAGCCTTCGGATGAAACCCTGAAGTAAGCCACGAAGTACGGATCTTGACTAGTTACAGAAAAGTTTAAAAGGGTTCCGTTCTGAATTTCTGTGGGCTATCTGCATGCATATTTTGGGTTCGCCCCTGTCCTTGTGCAAATTAGTCTCGTGCGACCAACTACTGACTGCACGGGAACTCCAAGAAACAGTTATGAGTTTCGGTTGACGGTGTTTTCAATTCTTCTTTGAATCAGCATGCACAAGTGGCCATTTTTGAATTCTTGCTTGCCATGCAAGCTCGCTTCCTGCCTTGCACACGCACTGTCCTTCGTCTCTGCGCACCCCTCCCTCTTCCTCTAGACCCTCCCTCCTATCCTCCCCTTGTCCTTCGGCTTATTAATTGATTGATCGTCAGTTGGGTTGGTCGGATCAAGCTGTAAAGGGCGAACTGACGCTCGTTGCTTGAGCGACCACCCGAAGTGATAAAAAAAGTTGGTTGTCCCGCCTTCTCACCTTTTGGAACCTTCTTCCTTCTCTCCTCCTCATCTTCACCACTTGCTACCCGCATTGCACGCTGCTGCCCCGCCGCCTCCCATGTTATAAATTTGCCCAGCCCCTTCCTCTCCCTCTCTTTAGTCTCGGCTGCAATGCTGTGTGAGCTATGCGCAAAGACTGCGGCGCTGAACCGCCTCGACGTGCATAAGGAATGAATGGAGTGACGGTGTGGGGCGGAATTAG